TGCGATAGAATCCTTCAAGACAGCATTAAATATTACTATCATCTCTTGTCCTAAGATTTCCAAAAAAGATTTATAGATTTCAACATTCTTTCTGAATTAAATAAGGAGGAAAAAACTTATAAAGAAATTAAATATTTAGCAAAATGCTTAAAAATGATTGAATGTAAGACAGTTTAAATCAATAAAGGGAGCAGTAAATTTTGAAAGATTGTTGGCAAACATGGTTTTCAAATATTGGAACTCGGACAAATGGATTGGGCTTTTGTGCGAATTTTGTTTAATATTAAAGAATGTAGATAGTTGGTGGATTTCACCAAAAAAAAAGAATACTGGTAGCCCTCAACTAATGCATAGTAAACATTAGAAGTTCTGACAGACCTTAAAATATGACTTCTGATTCAATTTCAAACACCCCCACATCCCCTGTGGTCACGTGATCACATCTGGGGCACTCGGCAACCAGTCTGGATTTACAACTGTTTGCAGCGTCTGATGATGAACATTGTATTTGATTTTTGAAACAGAATTCTTTACAAATGACAAACGTGATTGCTAAAATGTATAATTACTTATTGAAATTTGAAACAAAAACAAGTCAAAGAATGTATGATAAAGTGGGTTAAAATTTTTGATTATAATATGCAGCTGGAAATATGTGATTAAAAGAATTGAAATTTATACTGTTATAAGATAAAAATTATCTTAAAGATAATTTTTATAAAATTATATACTATTGACATATAACATCAGAAAAATGTGTTAGAATGCATAAAAGCACTTTAAATTTATATTGATAATGTGAACAAGAAATGTCATTTTATTATACTTGATGGATGTGCAAAAAGGCTTGAAATTTTTGGGTTCAAATGCATATATTGATTAAGAGGATTTTAAAGATGAATATGCAACTAAAACCAAAGCTTTTCTTCTTGGAAATGATGAATAAACAGTTGGAAAAAAGTCATGGAATATTTTTTTTAATATGATAACTGCAGCAAGCTTATTGTACAAAAATGGACAGATTTGGCAATATCTATGATGGGAATTGTTGGTGAAGATAAGCAATGCTTTACAAAATATTTAAGCAAATATATTTATGTTTTGTATTCTAGCAAGAAACACTTTATTATTATGACTTCACATCTTAAGAACACGGGAGTGGTTTAATGCAATGCTAGGTGATATCTGTTGAAGTCCTATAGGAATAGTGAATAACTAGAACTCCTGGTGAAGCAGATAACCATGCATTTTCTGTGATGTTTTGATGAAAGCACATAGATACAATCAGGAAGGAGCCTAGTATCACAGAAAAAGCCAAGGATTTCTTCCTTTAATTTCCTATTAAAGTTACCTATAAATTGTGTATATAACAGCCACATTGTATTTTGTGTGTGTGTAAATTTTATTGAAATTTTTAAAGATAAGAGTAAGATTAATACAAACTAAAAGAGCAAAAAAGAAAAAGAAAAAAGGTACAAAAAACTACAAAAATATGAAAGAAAAAAATATAAAGTAGTTTCTAATCTTCTTTACAGTAATTTTAAGCACAATTATAAAGTGACCTTCGTTTCCCTCTATTTACATTGTGACCCTCTTATTTCTCTATTCCGTCCTATATAAACATCAAAACCATAAATCAGAAGTTCATTTTTATGCAAAAAGTCCATACAAGTCAATTTGATCATTCTATTTTGTGACTTATGAAACTTTTTCAGAGTATGGGAAATGTTTCTGGATTTGTGACTGATGATCCGTTGCTCTAATGTGTGTGTGTTTTAGAAGAGAGTATGTGCAACTTGACACCTCAAACTTTATGAAAAAATTTCAGCATTTTCCTATAGCTTTAAATGAATAACAGAACAGAAGAACTGTAAAAGACCCTCCTACCTTTCTGTTTCCATTTCTAGGAAATGATTGAAGAGCTTCAGAAGCGTTGCATTCATCTGGAGTACCCTCTGCTTGCTGAATATGATTTCAGAAATGATTCAGTGAATCCAGATATTAACATAGATTTGAAACCCACAGCTGTTCTCCGACCATATCAGGAGAAGAGTTTGAGAAAAATGTTTGGGAATGGTCGTGCTAGATCTGGGGTTATCGTCTTGCCTTGTGGTGAGTGGACTCTGCTGAAATTGAATGTTCTTTAAAATTACCTGATTGAGATTAGATTCTGAGAGAAGACTTGTAAAAATAGCATTTATGTCACAGTATGTCCATATTTATTTCTCTCTTCTGTAGATATCTCTGAGCATCTCGGATCAAAATTCTCATATCATTTCTGTACAGTTTATACATATTTTATAATTAGTTTCAGTAACAGAGTGACATGAGTTGCTTTCAGACCATGTTGGTGTCTTTTTTTAAAAAATAGGGACTAGGTTAGAGTTTTCAAAGCTCTTTTCAGAGGGACATATCAAGCTCAATATTATATTATTTTTTTCTCTGGATAGTAATACATTCCATGCAAAGTTTTGATAAATTTTCATTTCATTCACTGCAGGTGCTGGCAAATCGCTTGTAGGCGTAACAGCTGCTAGCACCGTCCGTAAGCGGTGCCTAGTATTGGGTAATTCTGCTGTCTCAGTGGAGCAGTGGAAAGCCCAGTTCAAGATGTGGTCTACCATTGACGATAGCCAAATCTGCCGATTTACTTCTGATGCCAAAGACAAGCCAATTGGCTGTTCTATAGCTATCAGCACATACTCCATGTTGGGACACACAACAAAGAGGTCATGGGAGGCAGAGAGAGTGATGGAATGGTTGAAGAGCCAAGAATGGGGTCTGATGATCCTTGATGAAGTGCATACCATACCTGGTAAAGACTCTCCTAATGACTATTGCTTTTGTCCCAGCTGAGGTTTCATTCCTGAATAATGGAAGCCCTGATTATTCTGAAATACGTTGACAATACTGCTTTGCAAAAAGTAGTATATGTTTATAATGAATCTAACATGTAAAATGAAACAAATAACAATAGCATGAATGCTGCAATTCAATGCATTTTTAAGCATCAAATATATATCTTTTATTGTACTTACATCTTAATGATAATTGCTGCAGTTTTTTATTTTTTGGTGGAGAATTAAAAAAAATCCCAGTATGATTTAAACCTAGTGCATGGCTTTTGGATTTAGATATTAGCTAACTTAGTAATGAATTGCCCAAATTGATGCTACTGTATTTAATTTAATTTCTGTAGATTTAATTTGTGAAATGAGTTGTATGAGAAATACTGTTAAGTTGTTGCTACAAAACCTATCATGTAGATCAGGGATGTCAAACTTGATTTCATTGAGGGCAGCATCAGGGTTGTGTTTGACCTCGGGGTGGCTGGGTGGGCGTGGCCAGCTCGATGTCTGTTTTCAATTGCGATGGCCTCCTGCAGCCCTCTGCCAGTAAAAACGGAGCTTGGGGTGGACATGCTCCCTACCCCAGATCCATTTTCAATGGCAGAGGCACCTGGGGTCGGTCCTTCACTTTTTCCAGGGTGGCCCCGTGGGCCAGATCTAAGCATCCCATGGGCCGGATTCAGCCAGTGGGCCTTGAGTTTGACACTAGATAAATGCGTGGAAATCAACTAAACACATCTAATTTTAACGTAAGATTCACAAATGGTTCATTTAATATCACTTAGCATGAAAAATTAACATGGTGCTATTTTTTAAAATACTTCTCCAGACAGGATCTCACTTCTTTTTACACAATTCTTTCAGCAAAAATGTTCAGGCGTGTGCTCACTATTGTTCAGGCCCATTGCAAGCTTGGATTAACAGCTACTCTTGTCCGGGAAGATGACAAAATTGTAGACCTGAATTTTCTGATTGGGCCTAAACTCTATGAAGCCAATTGGATGGAATTGCAAAACAGTGGTTATATTGCTAAAGTCCAGTGTGCTGAGGTAAGGAATGTTTTGTTCAGTGCGAGCTGTGCAAATACATTTTCCAGCAGCAATATTTTTCCTCAGCTAACTTACAATTGGGGTATAACACTCTGGACCATTTGATACTGGAAGTAAAATTTCTGTATGTGACTTGTTTTAGAAATCCTGGCTTGATTTGCCTCCTTTTTAAAAATAATTTCAGTCATCTTGTTTCCCAGTTACAGCTCATTACTCCATAACTCACACTTTTCCCAAGTCTTCTCTCTGAGGGAAAAATCTTCAACAGGGAAAAGAAACAGCTTCTCTTTAATCAATTGCTGCTAGGGATAGAATCAGAAGTTGATAATAGTTCTATATGGGTTTTTAAATAATCAGAAATGTTTAATAAGGCTGAAAATATCTGCCCTTGTCTTATCTTTCCTGCTAGCATAAATACTTTTTTTCTTTTTATCATACAGTGTAATCTTGTAAACTTTTATCCCTGTCACATTTCTGTTGTAAACCTATTGATCTATTGTTACTAAAGTCTGTACTTTATTTTATGTAGGTTTGGTGTCCAATGTCTCCTGAATTCTACAGAGAATATGTAGCTATTAAAACAAAGAAACGGATATTGCTCTATACCATGAACCCAAACAAATTTAGGGCTTGCCAGTTCCTGATTAAATTCCATGAACGAAGGAATGATAAGATCATTGTATTTGCTGACAATGTGTTTGCTTTGAAGGAGTATGCTGTTAGATTAGGCAAGTAAGTATTCGTGAATTTTAGATATTTGTGTGTTTCTTAAATTTTATAAGCAAAAAAAGACCTCTTCCAGGTTTGTGACCTTGCATATTAAATCCTTAAAATCAACAGTACTACTTACTACTTTTTATATATTCATTTGCATGAAATTACAGGAGTATCAACTAGGGACAAAAAGATGTCTTAAGTTATAAAGAATTCTTGACAAATAAGTTAGCAACTTGAGGTTGCTTCAGAAATGATAGATTTTTCTCATTGGTATAATTCCTCAATAAAATAAAATAATGGATGCAAGTTACACAAGGCTCTTGCACTTGATTATCAAGAGAGGCGGGGATTTATCGGGGCTTGGTCGAGCAGATCGGGCGGCTGGCTGTGGCTGCCGCCGCCGTAGCTCTCCTGGACACCCCCCCCCCTCCATTTTGCTTGCCTCCCTCGCCGTCGCAGCCTCGCCCTTCACCCTTCTGTGTGCTTGGGCATTTTCTTCTTCTGCCTGCCCTCGCTGCTGTGGAGCCTTTGCCTGTTTCCCTACCCAGCACTGACTCTCTACTGCCTTGGCCTGCGACCATCTGCATTGGCCTTGTAACAACCGTCCTCCTTCGACCGCTTGCCACCCGTTATTGCCCCTGGAACATCTACTTTGGGCAGCGTCCATCTGATATAATCTCGGTGACCAGGACCTCGGACATGGTAACGGAGGGGTTCCTGCAAGACACCAGCGTCCGGGCTTTCCAAGGAGGTAACTATTTGAGGAGGGGGCTGCCTTTGAGCGGCTCCTGGACGGCGTTGCCTTTCTCGGCGGCCTCTCTATACAGCTGGTCGTCGTCGGCGGTGACGGCTTTGCGCGAGTGGCGGTGGTTTCGGCCTCGTCGCTCTGGGAGGTGTTGGACTTTTACCGAGCAATGCCAACGTGCTAGTTTGTGCCCCGAAGAAGGGGTGGGGAGCCCTATAGAAATGTCTATCTGGACTGGGGGACTGGTTT